CCATTTTCCGATAAGTAGCTCTTCTTTTAAGCCGTACAACTTCCTCCTCTAGGTATCCATATTCTCATTTGTAGGAAAAAGGGGGGAAAAACCTATGCTGAAATGAAATACAAGGCTATAATTCTTTACCTTTAAACACACCATCATTTAGGGATTTAGGTCATCTTCAGAGCCTTGAGCTCAGGATATAAGTAACTTTTAACAAGTTTCATATAAATCCAGGATGACTTGGGCTTTAATCTTGCAATCAGCATTCCTTTCACTCCCTGTGCTATCTAGCAAATATGCTTTGTGAACCTGGGAGAATGTGATATAAAGGCTGAAACTCTGTTGCTTGGCATGAATAAGGCACTCTAGAACAAGTCAGAACTGGAATAAGCCCACTGCATTAGTAGAACTTGTGGAGGAGCTGACTTAAAATCCATGTGGGATAGTGGGCCTGTTCTGCTGGCAAATTACTCCATTAAGCAATAGGATTTCATCCAGTGTGTCAGGGGAGGAAAGGATGTTATGTATGTAAACATCTTTTTAAAATATTCCATATGTGTTTAAAGTTTGTGTTGGAAATAGCTCTTTAGATACCACCATCACTTCATGTTTCTAAAATCACCCAATGTAGGAGACCAGTCTTGAAGCTAACAACACTCATGATGACAAGCTTCTAGAAGGAATATAGCTTGGCAAATTATTTCAGAGCATCTTATCTGTAAATGAGATTTTTAAATGCATATTTCAACCCTTATCAAAAAAGAAAATGTTCAATTTCAGATGCTAAAATAACTGTAAAGAAACTTTGAATATTCCTAATGTCCATATAGTCTACATATCTTGCCTCTTATTATGAAAATCAATCTGGACACTTCTTTGAGAGCAGGTATATGAGCCAGCATTATGATTCAATGTCCTGATTTTAAAACAAAGGAAATTGGAATATTCTTATATGTATGGAATTTCACAAGTAATAGGATATATTTAAAAGGTCAGATCACTCTTGTTAGTAAAGAGTTCTGTGTTATGTTTACATTAGGACTACAGTACACTTTTTCTATTATTACTTTTAGGGGAGGAAAGCCCCTTAAAGTTATAATTGTTATTGATGGGAACTTCAGTAGGTTACTAGCTCCTCTTTAACACATTCTGAGGTTTATAACGTAAGGACCAAGAATAGGCAACTACAACAGTAAGCCTATACATCTACTAGCTTTGTATGACGTACTTTATGACCTCTAAGTTACAGTAACTTATTAAAACTATCTCCAGGACCATTGCAGTAGGACTATTTTCCATATCTTTTTGTAATTGCTGCCATATTACATTACAGACAGGGATTTTTTTTGTGGGTGAAATCAAAAACATTGAACCATTAATTTTAAAGTGGTTTTAAAAATTTAAAAAGAGTATTCTGAGCTCAAGGTCAAACACACACACACACACACACACACACACACACACGAACTAGATTTGGGGATAAATTTCTTATCTCTAATCAGTGATTACTTTGCTACTTCAATACCCGATCTGGATCACTGCCTGAAGACAGCATAAAATTGCATTCCTATTCACATTTACTTAAGAATAAGCCCTGTTTAATTCAATGGCTGAAACCTTGTTGGTGTAACTTACACCATATAAGCCTGATTATGTGGATTTGGGGATAAATTTCTTATCTCTAATCAGTGATTACTTTGCTACTTCAATACCCGATCTGGATCACTGCCTGAAGACAGCATAAAATTGCATTCCTATTCACATTTACTTAAGAATAAGCCCTGTTTAATTCAATGGCTGAAACCTTGTTGGTGTAACTTACACCATATAAGCCTGATTATGTGTACAGTGGCAATTTTTCAGAAATTAAATATGTCCCACTTCTCTCCCAAAGGTCCCAGGGCTCCCATAGAATCAATTTCATCAATTACTGGAAATCACCACAACCGGGGATCCCTTTAATGATGAAAGGGATTCCATAGAACCTTCAGGACAGAAGTCGGAAATGTTTACTGAAAAAAATAGCTGCTGCTACTGCCGCCATCAGCCTTATGAGGTGTAAGGCACCAACAGGATATCATCCAAAGAGATGTACTTCCGAGTAGATATGTATAGAATTGTGCTGTATTGGACCAACAATCTCTGCTGATACGATAGTAACGGATTCCTGATGCTGTTATTCAATGCGAGAATTAACTGACTACCAGCACTTAAATCAATGCTGTACATTCCATGGCAATCAGTGCTACTGAATTGAGTACATTCTGTATTCAATGAGGGGGAAATTAGCCTATTTCTGGGGACAGTTTTCTGATGCTGTATCTTTGTGTTCACACAACATAGTGTACTGATTAAGCTAAAAATCCTGGAATGAATATTATTTTTGATGCAAATGTACCTTTTTCACTGTTGTGTGTATACTTATTTTCATTATAACAGTAATGACTTTTATCTATAGTCCAAACGTGAACAGATATCAGCTACATGGATCTACAGTCAAGTCCCCAAACTTGGTGTACTGGCAAATAAGTGCACTGGATGAGGACAGTGTACCCAAATATTGTATAAAAATAGCATCCCAAGCTATGATGTCATGTTGACATTGCACTCCAGTCCAACGGTGCAAATATAGTTATGTTCCAGTCATGAAATGCTTCATTTCGCTGTCTTGACTGACATAATCTTTCAAAGAATGTTACTTTTTTGTACATTGTCTCAAGTTTATACGGTCTGACTGTACCTGATATCAGTACTACTCACAAATTTCCTAAAGGAAATACCTCACTTCAAGCAATCTGTTTTTGTATCTGTCAAGTGAGTGAAAGTCTGTGTCTTTGTTATTGATTGTAAAGTGCTATAAACTGAACCAAGCCAAGGAACAAAATAATAATGGCTTTTATGATTTACTGTTATGAGACATGCTGGTTTCCTTTAAATAAATCTCGTGTTTGTTTATTAAAAAAAGATTGAAGAGGTTCCTTTCAAGGTTTCAGTTATACATTATAGAACAGCTGCTCATTTTGCCTGCTTGATTGTTGCCCCTCCCCCACCTCATTTGACTGGCCAGCAGTAAATGTGGAGACAAAAGGGTGCAGTGATGAACCTCTGGCTTCTGTGTGTTTTTTTTTAAATGTGATAGAATTCACTGGTTCTTAACCTTGGGTTACTCAGGAGTTTTGGACTGCAACTCCCAGAAGCCTTCACCATTTGCTGTGCTGGCTGGGGTTTCTGGGAGTTGCAGTTCAAAAACATCCGAGTAACAAAGGTTAAGAACCACTATGATAGATAATACTGTAAAGTCAGAATCATAACAATCTGATAATGGCTGAAATCTAGTAGTGGAGTGTAGGCTATGTGTGTCTAATGATGTCATCAACAAAGTGTTGGGTTTTTTGTTTTTTGTTTGTAAATAAAAAATGTATGCTTTACCTCCCCTGAGGCTCCCTTGGGATCCCTTTTGTCAAGGAGGAAAGCATGGGGGGTATGGGATAGAAATCTTTTTCCTATAATTGCCACTTTCATGCCACCAGCGGTGATTTTCAGAAAATAAAGACTCTCTCCCCTGAAACTCATGGACCTCAATAGCTTTGCCTTGACGAAATGAATTTCGAGGGAGCCTTGAAACCTGGAGGGGAATGAGAATTTTTTAATTTACAACAACTGCAGCAGATTACATCATCTGTTTTATGCAGTATTAAGTTCTGCTACTGGATTTCAACCAATAGATATGCAGGGATTTCAGCTTTTTGAGATTTTAATGGATGGACCCTTTCTGTCCAGGCTGTGGTCCTGGATAATCTAACCCAAGAGTTAATCCTATTTACATACATTTCAATCTCACCAAAATCAGTGGAATACAGTAAAATCTGCATATACGATTGACTCCATGTGATGTTCCTGGATTTATATCCGCCCATATTCACAGTGCCCCTTTGTGGATTGCTGTTTTGTCATGGCGAAGGGGCTTGAGTAACTCAGAGAAGTTATGGGCTACGCCATGCAGGGACTCCCAAGATGGACAGGACATAGTGGAGAGTTCTGACTAAACGGAATCCACCTGGAGTAGGAATTGGCAAGCCACTCCAGTATCTTTGCCAAGAATATCCCATGAACAGAAACAAAAGGCTAAATGATATGGCACAAGAAGATGGGCCCTTCAGGTCGGAAGGCGTCCAACATGCTACTGAGGAAGAGTGGAGGACAAGTACAAGTAGCTCCAGAGCTAATGACGTGGTTGGGCCAAAGCCGAAAGGACGCTCAGCTGTGGACGTGCCTGGAAGTGAAAGGAAAGTTTGTATACTACCGCATAGACCACACACTCTGAATGGTTTTCAACCTATTAAAGATACATAAAAATACAACAAATATCCTGAAATTAATACTTAAATAGATAAAACCCTATCCTAATTAAAATCAAATTTTCAGTAAAAATTCAACAGATTAAAACAGATTCGCACATCTCAGGTAGTTAATAAAAGACAGCTTTGAATAATACAGTTTTTGCCAAAAACCGGGAAGGTGCCTGATGAGCCCCTGGATGTTTATTCTAAAGTGGAGGGGCCATGCCCAGAAATACATGGTTCTTGGTGTAGACTTTTAGCCTTCTTCAGTGTCAATATTTTTAACATCCTGGGCTGCAAGGAGCAGGTGGAACAGGTAGCTGTTTTTTGAGATATATGTTCTGACAGATACTGAGGTCCTAAACCACTAAGGGCTTTATAGGCCATGACCAGCACAAAAACTAATAGGGAGCCAATGAAAGTGTGTCAAGACTGGGGTTATATGTTCGTATCTGGAGGTGTTTGTTATCAGTCTGGCTGCTGCATTTTGGACCTGCAGACATTCTGTACTGACTTCAAGGCTAGCCCCACATAGAAAGTGTTACAATAGTTTATTTTAGAGATTACCAATGCATGAAACACTTTTGTTAGGCATGAATTAAACACCTATGCTGAGTTTAAGTCTCTGCTTCTGCCCGTTCACCTGTTGCTAGTAACTAAAGAATATCATATAACCTAAAATCTACAGTTACCACAAACTAAATTTGCTACTGTTTCCTAGCTCAGTGATCCACCAATGTCAGCCCCTGTTTCTGGAGTCAGATATCCAGACAACATATTTCGGAAGGCGTAGTAATAAAGAAGAAACGGTGTCTGTGTAATTTTATAATATGCTTTCCCAGATTTGTATTTCATAATACAGTATTTTGTGTTTCTAAAAGATCGGCGGCAGGCGACCAGGGAAACTACATTTCCCAGCATGCCACAGGGCAGCGGCGAATCCGTTTCCGTTGCCGAGGGAAAGGGAGAGCCGAGCGGAGGGAAGCGGGCTGTCTGTCTGCCGGCTTGGTCTCGCTCGCTAGCCGGCCCCAGGGTTGGAGCGGTCGGTGTGGCCCGCCTGCTGCCGCCTCCTGCCCCGCTGCCTGTGGTGGGTGGTGTGGT